TGCCAAGGCTTTATAAAGAGGTACTAATACTTCATGTGATCTTGATTGGATGTCTTTGTTTTTACAATGGCTTAGGCCCAGGATACCTGCGAGACCACCTACTGCCACCGGTAGCCTCCCACCGTCCAGTGCGATCCCACAGAGTTGGCCTCCTCAGGGTGCCAGACAGTGTCGGCTAGCGATCCCCAGGGGGAGAGCCTTCTCTATGGGAGGGCCTTCCCTCTGGAATGAGCTGCCCCTGGAGCTTCATATAATCCCCGATCTCCGGTCCCTCCGACGCGCCCTAAAAAGTTGGCTTTTCCATCAACCAGCCTGGCCTGAACAAAACAAAATAAATTATTGATCATTGTTAATTTTAATCATTTTTTTTTAAAAAAAATGTTATTGTTAATCCTAATTGGGTTTGTTTGGGATATTCTATTTAATTTTTTTAAAAACTTTTGTAATATGTGTTTTTTTTAATAATGTACGCCGCCCTGAGTCCTTGGGAGAAGGGTGGCATATAAATCCAATAAACCAAACCAAACCAAACAAAACAACCAAGGATTGTTTTAGCCCTTTTGGCTGTTGCCTCACATTGCTAACTCGTGTTTGATCATCCACTCAGTGAAGATTAAGGTTCCTGATCAGCAAGGGAGGCACAGGTGTTCTGAACACGGTCTCACCTTCTGCTGTTATTTCTCTTGTCTCACAGCTGAATTGTGGACCTAAAATGAGACCCAGGATGTAATTTCATTGACCGCCTGTTTCTTGTATTCTTCCTTCAGCCCATATCATAAAGGGCAGTCCACATTGTCAAATAGAACAAATAAGCATGGCTTGAATAGTTTGAGTTGATTTTGGTACCTCAAGTTGGTGTCAACTTTTAGCAACTGCATAAATAGACCTTGTCTAGTATAGCGGTCCCCAACCACCCCCAGTTGGTGGATTGGCACCAGTCTGTGGTATGCCAGAAACTGGACCACACAAACAAATGAAGCCCCATCCGCAGGAAGCAGGCAGCAGATGAAATATGCCCCTTCCAATCCACGTAAAAACCTCTCTCCATGGAACTGGTTCCTGGTGCCCAAAATGTTGGGGGCATGGTCTAGGATGATCTATCCCCAACTGGACCCTTTAGGAATGTTTCTGGTTTATAGATCATCACTGTAATAGGGTCCAAGCACTTTGCTGTCAGTCATATTTTTTCCATCTTTCCACACACATTGTGATCTCAGGAAAACTGAGCCATTGAATGATGTGTCCAAAATATAAGTTAAGCCTGGTCATTTATGCCATGGGTTTGGGAACTCTGCACTGGATTTATTCTATGTTTCATTTGTTTGTTTTAGAGTTGACCACAAAGGGTCTCAGTAGACTTCTCCAACATCAAAATTCAGAAGCTGCAGGGGGGGAAAATATTGCATGCATGATTCTGATCTTTGTATAAACATGTTACAACATCTGAATAACTTTTCCCAGGCCTTCATTGCTACTTATTTAGTTCTAGGCTTGGTGCATTTATTATAGGGAACTTACCTTTATATTCATTTGAGCAGCCTGGATTTCCTCATTGCCTTGGGGCTTGACATGAACCTGAATTTACTAACAGTCAAAGCAAATTGACAGTGGATAAGAGTCAATGGAATTCAAGGTGGACTAGACTTAGATCTTTTGGGGGTTCGAAGGGACTCAAGATTGAGGCTATGTTTGACCTCTCCCTCGGGCTCAGCTTGGTCATCTCCTACAGAACTATTGAGCAATGCATTATTCTGTGCTATGATTATTTTTTTATGTATAAAAGGATGTTTCATTGTGAAACAAAACTTGTAACATTTGTAGCTTAGATGAATTAACAGGAGCATGACGCCAAAATGTAGAAGTCATGTGTGAAAAACTTACTGCTAGACCTTTACTGCTTCCATAGGTATAAAGAGGCTAAGTAGCAGCCAGATATTGCTAATCAAGTGCCCTTGATCATCAGCTGGTGTGACTATAAGAGCCAAAGTTTTAGGTGTTTGCTAGTCTTCAGCATTGTGATGTAATGTTAATACAATGGCAAAGAGTAAAGACATCAGCAAAGATCTTAGAGAAGTAATTGTTGCTGCCCATCAATCTGGACAAAGTTATAAGATGGTTTCCAAGCAATTTAAAGTCCATCATTCTACAGTGAAGAAGATTATTCACAAATGGAAAACATTCAAGACAGCTGCCAATCTTCCCAGTAGTTGGACATCTCAGCAAATTCATCCCAAGGTCAGACTGTGCAATACTCAGAGAAATTGCAGAAAATGCAAGAGTTACATCTCAGACTCTAAGGGCCTTAAATGTTCATGACAGTACAATTAGAAAAAAACTGAACAAGTATGGTTTGTTTGGAAGGGTTGCTAGGAGAAAAACTCTTCTCTCTAAAAAGAACATGGTAGCCCAGCTTAGGTTTGCAAAGTTGCCTTGGCTTTGCTGGATCTCATGGCTTCCCATATTTTCTGTACATTATTCAAGTCCAAAGAATCATCATGGAAACACGGCTTAGTAACAGCACTGGATATCATAGAGGAAAATCATAATATTTGGCAATGTTATGCTTAAGTGTTAAGAACAAAAAGCAATTGTTATTAACTTAAGTTTGTATTTATGTACTAGTATAAGATACAGAAATAGAAAAGAAAGTAAACAAAGACAAAAATAGAAACTTTTCTTTTGGGTTTAATGGGAAAAGATTTGGGGGAAAAACCCTGGAACGTTGATGCTGTATATGTGGATGGCAGCAAGATTACTTTATGCAAAAAATGGAATCATTGTTGATTCCAACAATGGATGCAGAAGTTGATGGAGTTAGCAGAAATGGCTACACTGACTGCTTTGATGAAAAACAAAAATACAACTACTTTGTTTCTACTTGGAAGCTGCTTTTGATTTTTGTGCTTGAGGTGGGAAAAAAATGAAACTTTAATTTGGGGTTTTACCAATTAGATAGGTTTGTTGCTATAGAAATGGCTAGTTTATACTATTATGTAAAAGTAAAAAGTTGAGGTTCCATGTTATTATTTTATTCTACTGCACCAAAGCAAATCAGAAGTCAAAGCCGTCCCTCCCCTTCCCCCTACCTCAGTGGTGGGATTCAAATTTTTTTACTATGGGTTCTGTGGGCATGACATCGTGGGCGTGACATGCCTTGATGGGCGTGGCATGGTGGGCATGGCAGGATAAGGATACTGTAAAATCTCCATTCCCTCCCCACTCCA